GTCTTTAGTTTTTTTATCTCTTGACTTAAAAAATGAAGTTCTATCCATACCTTTTTCTAAGCCACATTCTTTATACTTGTCACTCTGGCTCCTCGTTACATTACAGCAAGATTTTTCTTTTTTTCAGAAGACATCTACAAAATGTGCTCTATTCAAAGTACTGTAGACTATCACTAACATAGATAAACCATTGCTGAGGAAAGCAAACATTCATATCCTGCACCATAGAAAGAGTACTTATACTTGCAATAATTAGATATACCAGTTTTGCTATATTTGACATTGTTGAGTGTGTAAAAAACTTGTGCCCCCGATGCCTTTTCTCCCTGGCTCAGATAAGAAACTCCATGCATTTTTCTGTCTGATTTCATCTTCCCAAAGTACTTTGTTTCTCTTCATTAAATTTTTTTCTGAAAATTAGAGATATTTTCTCCAATTTTCCAGAGCTATGTTTAACTCTGATCTAATTCTGCCCTGCCAAAGAGCTTGAATGCCCCCTTCCCAAAAGACACAGCACCAGTGACTGCTTCTGTCAGCTCAGGGTCTTTTCTTTCAGCATTGATGACCCTAACAAGTCTGAGCCTTCTTTGGCCCACTCCACGGGTCTTTGTTCTGTCCCAGTGGTGAATACATGAGACTGGCTGTCCCACCTGGTTGGATTTTAACCTTTCTGGTGTGATTCTTTCATAGTGCGTGGGCCAGGAAGTTTCAGCAGCTCTAAAAGCACCCATTTTCAAGTGTGTCCCAGTTGTGGGTCTGTAGCGGACCAGCCACCCAGAGGAGGGTCCACCTTGATGGCTCCATGCTGCCACCCCCTGGCAATGGGCGCCTTGAGCAGTGGGCCTGGTCGGCTGCTGCCTCCCGAGCTCCCTGTGACTGACAGGAGCCTGCTGGAGCCCTGTGACCGGTCCCCCTGCTCCCAACCCCTGGTAATAATGCCATCATCCTCCTGCCAAGGATCCCTAAAAGAACCTGTCTGTCGCTCCGGTGTCAGCTGACAAGACCCGAGCTGGGAATGAAACTGATGGGGCCTGTGTCCTCTGAACAACAGTCCAAGTGGCGAGGCGAAAGGCACAGCCACCGTCGCAACCGACATCTCTGGGCCTTGGTTTCCTCTGCCTGATTGCCTGTCGTGACTGTACCAGGCAGTGACGCCGGCTTTACTGAGCTCTCCAAAGGGCTAGTAGAGTCAGGCTGCAGGAAGAGCCGGGTCTCCATAACCATCACGTGATGGCCACCGGCCTAGCCAGGTGTTCTCCTGCAGCCCTGATACTCCAGTGGCCCTTGAGGGATCTCTGGTGTACAGCCCTACTACCTTCCCTCAGTGAGTGCTGTGAAAGCACAGCCTGAGCAAAGGGACATGGCCTTCTGCAATGCTGCTGAACCTTGGAGCAAGCCCTGCCTCTGCCTTCATCCTCACCCAGACAGGGACACAGGGGGAGGCAGCGGTAAAAAAAAAAAGCTGAGCTACAGCCCAGCCCGACTTTTTCATTTGCTGCTTTACAAGAGAAGTGATGCCCCCACCTACGCCACACTGAGCCCCAGCTGACCTCTGGAAGTACCTGGGCAGCTGCTCTGTTCTCCCGTGGGACAGCACGTCCCAGGAGGGCATGGCGAGCACCCAGGCGCTGGGCTGGCACAGCATCATTGCACGGACTTCAGAGGGGCCACTCTTGATTTATACTCTTACCAGGGATGGCACACTTGGGCCTGCTTCTTATTTTTAACATTTAACCTGAGAAAGGAGCTGTGCCAGAGCAAGTCTCTCTGGGGTAAGAATAGCATCTGCCATCTTAGGACACAACACAGTTGTCCAGCTCCTACATGGCAGCACGTTGCGCCGAGATATAGAAGGCAACCTACCCGCCGAGGAATGTCTTCGAGTGCTATTAGTGGAAGCATATCATCTGCGCAAGCAGGCATGACCCCGCGCCGGAGTCTTGCAAGAGCAGGGCTATTTTGAGCTTTTGACAGTGAGGATGAAGGGAGACAAATGACAGGCTGATCCTCCTGTTATGGGCAACCTCCAAAGCTCTCTGAGGCCTTGTCTCCTCCTCTGGGAATGACTCTTGTGAAGGCTGATGGGCGATTTGGTGGGACCTCAGAGCCCAGGAGGTGGGGGCCAGGAGGGAGCTATGAATTTGCCAGGGACACGAGGCCAGGCCTCAGTCGCATCAGCACTGCCCAGCCGTGCTTATGGCAAGTCCTGCCTGAGGGTGTGCACCTGTCCCTGAGCTTAGGGCACACATCTGCCTGCTTTATTTTCAACCATATGAAAGCTAGAGAGATACGAGAGGGTGTGTAACTGCATGCAAGTAAAACACGCAGGAAGCTAGAGGAAGAAATGGTTGACTTTGCAAAACAGAGTCTACAGAAGGCTACGGTAGGTCAGAACAAACACAGTTATACCTGTGACGCGAGAGCTGCTTCTTCAGTGACTTGCCTGTCCTTTCCCACTGATGCCCTTTGTGACAGTTCTTTTGTACAAGTCATCGAAGAAACTATCTCCAGGTACCACACTTACCAGTGCGGCCAGGAGCCATCAGCCTGCTCACTCCTCTTCACGCCTGCTTTCTCCTCTCTTCCCTCTGTCTGGCTTTGCTGGCTGCATTCCTTCATTCCAATGACAAATCCTCAAGCTTCCACGGTGGAGGTAATGTGAGGCAAAGGATGGTGCAGGGTCTGTAGAGCAGGATTTTGGAGAGTCTCTGAAGTTTATGCTTGCACAAGCCATTACAGCTAACAGGGATACTCATGGGTGTTGTGTGTCATCTAGACTCTACGCAGCCCCACCTGAAGCTTTGGAGACACCTGCGGGTATGGCTAGAGATTCTCAAGCCACCCAAGAGGAGCTGTCAGCTCATAGGTGGCTTTGGGCAGGCAAGGCTCACCACAGGAGACCCTGGCTGTGGTGGCAGACCAATGGACGCTGTCAGGCAAGGACAAAGAATGCAGGGGATGAGGAGGGATGAACAAGGTTGGGAGTCTGCTAGGGAGCCATGGGGAAAAGTTGTGCAGTGTCATGAGAAGGGAGGACCAGTCTAGCACCTCTGCAAGCTGTTGGGTGGCTTTCTTAAGGTCCTTGTGATTGAAAACCGAGGTCTGCTCCTAAAGAACCATCTCCCATTGCTCTCTTCAGACAGCACTGACGGAGGTTCTGCTCACCAATGCTCGCTAGTGACGCTGGAAGCAGGCTGCACTTCCTTCTGAGAGCTGGTGTGCTGGTGAGGCTGCACTTGGGAGCCAGGTAAGGTGAGAGCCCTTTGGATATTGCTGTCATAGGCATACAGCTATGGAGCTGCCAGTCGCAACTTCCCAGCAGCGTGAGCATCGATTTGGAGACAAAGCCTCCGGCATTGACTTCTACAAGCTTAGACCAAGCAGACAGTGTCAACCCTTACCGCTTCCCATCACCCCCAAGGAGCTCCACTGGCAAGCTCTCCCTTGAAAACATTGTAAGCAAATCAAGGTGGAAAGCATTCAGGGGCTACCTGCCGCAGGCTTGGGCACAATCATTTTCTGCACAACCTGCGTCCCTTCAGCCCACAACACCAGCTCCACTCCCATCCTTGTGGCCCTGCTAGGCTCAATGCTCCATGGAGCACCCACCTCTGCTCTTGAATACTGGCACTTGTACAGTAGACAGAGGGGGAAAGCTGGGGACTGTCACAAGCTTTCAACACCAATACGTACCCTGGCCTCCGCTCTTGAGTCTGCTGCTTGTTTCCTTTTAGTGCCAGTTGCACTTCACTCCGCAGTTGCTGATAATGAGTTTCTTATTCACTCCACCTTGGTCTGCATCAAGGGATCCTGCGTTTGATTCACTGTACACACCGCCTCTGAGGTTTCTGAGAAAATCCTCCAAGGCTGTGTGGTCTCCCTGAAAATAGGGGACAAAAGTTACTTGGAAGCCGAGAGCTGTCAGTTCTATGAAAACATCAGCTTAGGCAGACATCTGTGGGCTTGTCTTTAACATACCTTGGCACTGTCCATCTGTCTTTCACCCAAACTAGAGGCAAGGCTTAATGCGTCAGAATGATCTAGCTGAGACGGCTGATAGAGCACATGAGACTTTGCAGTTGTACACGCCCACAGTGCCTCTGCTGCTCAGAACAGGGTCTGAATGAAGGAAAAAGTGTTTGACAATTTCCCCCTTCCCTTCTTCCCTCAAGCCCTCCCCTTCTTCCCAAAGGTATATTGTCTGTTGAGCCTGTAGGTAGGCCACAAGCAAGGTACAGGTATGTGAGAAAGGAATGGAGGGGTACACCCATCAGTTGTCTTCTTTTCTCTTGCCTGAGGCAACGCCACGTGCAGCCTGTTGTGCGAGAGGTGACAAGGCTGACCTTTGAGGCGATGTGTTGAGGAGGTCTGTTGGTGCCACACAACCTGCGAGAAATGGGCCCTAAGGGGCAATCCTTCCAGCACGTGGCCCCAGGCAGGGCCCAGCATTTTGTCCACTGCAGAGAAACTAGGAGCAGGTGGTGGCAGCAGCTGAGGGAATCTAGGGTAAGAGAGATGGCACAACTTAGGGGCACTATCGATGTGTCGTAACGGTGCTCTGTGTGCCGAAAATCATCTCTGCCAAGGCACAGTTGGTCCTTCGTGGTGCAGTGTCCTGTGACTTCTGATAACTTACTCAGAGACTGATGGTTAGGGTTTGTGACTGCCAGGATCAAAAACAAAATCAGGGAAAGGAAAAAGGAAAGGGATCACCCTCTCTTGCCTCTCACATGGGAAGTAAGCTGTGCTGAAAGGACAATGGGACAAGAATTAAGAGTACGTGAGGGCAGGAGCAGGGCAAGGAGCTGCTGGAGATGGAAGAGACTCCATAGTCTCCACAGGAATGGCCAGCCTCTAAGTTTGCGGGTCCTCAATGAAGAGTTTGCATTAGCTTCTCCCTTCCCCCAGCCAGGAGATGTAAGAAAACTTGTTCTGCAATGCAATATCCCACACTTGATCAGGAAAAAAAACCAAAGAAGGCACTATTCATAGTGTGTATGCAGAGGAATCTACGGTCTTTATTCTCTAGACATTGAGGTGGGTACAAAGACTCATTGCAGAAGAAAGCGACCAAAAGGTTCACATTTTGTGCAGCCCTCAGGTCGCTTTGCTGCTTCATGACATCCTCACTCTTCCTCCCCTATCTTCTTGCTGTGAAACTCCCGGCTCTTCACTCGGAGCTTGTTGACCTGTGACTCTGCAATGTCAGCCCGCTCCTCAGCTTCCTCCAGCTCGTGCTGGATCTTTCGGAACTTGGAGAGGTTGACATTGGACAGCTCCTCCTGTGTGGGGAGAGGGAGTAGGTGGTAAGGAGCCCAGGGCAGGGGTTTCACTCCTGGCCTTGGCCTTGTGGGGCTGTAGCTGTTCCCCAGGGGAAAGCACTGACCTCCTATCTCACACCTACCACTGCTTACACATGAGCCTCACACGGAACTCATCATCCTCCCATGGTTTTTATCCCATCCAAAACAACTAAAACAGCTTTTGAATTGTTATCCCAGTTCTGCCCACTGTAATGTGCAAAGGGGGATGCCAGCACAGTGGTTTCTGGTTTTAGCTGTCAAGAAAAAGCTCTTTGGGCTGCAGTTTGTTATTCTTTACACTCAAATGTTAGGGCTAAGAAAGAGCAGCCGCACCAAGAAAGAACATGTATACTCCACAAAGGTGAGTTTATATGCCATCCTCAGGGAGGAAATACCCGCCCCCTCCTGCCACTCCCCGCTAGATGAGTGAGTATAGCTTCTCCTTCTTTCTCCATGACTGCTATGACAGCACTGTCAGGTAACTGCCCATCTCCTTCTTCTTCCGTAGTCATACAACACTCCCCACAATCCACCCTTCTCTTCCAGCCACCCTCTGCAGTCACATATATCATCACTTTGTCTTATGAAGTACATTGCTTTACAGAAGAAATTGAAACTTATTTCCAGTTCAGCAAATGAGCTAAGCATCTCTGTCTCCTGTTCTGTCTCAGTGTCGTAGGTCTGCACTCTCTGATATAAGTTGAAGAACTTAGAGGAGATGAGTCAGTTACAACCCGTCCATGTCCCTCTCACAAATCATTCACTCATAGAATAGCAAAACCTGCCTATACTGGACTATGCAGGAAGGAACTTGACTCAAAGACTTATCAGCTGAGAGGCTGGTTGTGAGCATATCTGTCCTCCGGTATAAAAAAAAGATTGTAGGACACCCCTTAGTTTATCCCTGATAGGAGAATGGCCAAAAGAAATCAATGTCAACCATACTCTCGGGATCATGTTCCTAGAGTTCTTAAATTTCTCATGGGGAACCGCTCCTTACAAGCTTTACAAGGAGGAGTTTCTTGTAGGCCCACACTAAACCATTCCCAAATGACTGACCTTTCTTTCCCTGCACTTGAAGTCCATCATCATTCACCAGTTTCTATGCTTTCCAGAAACCTCATATTCACTTTCCATATGACTTGTGTTCCTCCCCAAAAAGTGATATTTGTTACCACTAGAAGAAAAACTTACAGCCTCCTCAGCTTGTCTCTTGTAGGATTTCACCTTCATTTGCAGCTTGTCCACCAGATCCTGCAGCCTGAGAATATTCTTACGGTCTTCCTCAGACTAAAGCAGTTGGTAAGCAGGAAAGAGAGTAAATTATTTCCCCACCATGTGAGTTAGCAATTCCCCTTGGCAATCAAGTGCAAAAATTTTTAGTTCCCGCGAGAGGGTGTGTCAGCCCAAGGCGGCCTCCTGCCCTACCTGGTAGGTCAGCTCCTTCACCCTCCTCTCGTACTTGCGCACACCCTTCACGGCTTCAGCGCTGCGCTTCTGCTCAGCATCAACCTCCCCTTCCAGCTCCCGCACCTGCAATGAGCACCCCATCTTTGGAGCTTCCCTGCTGGCTACTTACGTGACGTGCTCACTCATGCACAAATAAAAGCCCCACGCACTCTGGCCTCCAGCTTCTGGATTTGCTTCTTGCCTCCCTTCAGGGCCAACTGCTCGGCTTCATCCAGACGGTGCTGCAGGTCCTTCACCGTCTGGTCCAGGTTCTTCTTCATCCTCTCCAGGTGGGCGCTGGTGTCCTGCTCCTTCTTCAGCTCTTCTGCCATCATGGCCGCCTGATGAGAGCAAAGGATCAAAGCCATTTTCAGGCTGGAGACATCCTGGGAACTACACATCCACCGTCAGCAGTGAGAAGAGCCCCCGACTCACATCTGTGATGGCCTTCTTGGCCTTCTCTTCAGCATTGCGGGCTTCCTGGATCGTGTCCTCCATTTCACCCTGAATTTGGGCAATGTCGGTTTCCAGCTTCTTCTTGGTGTTGATCAAGCTGGTGTTCTGCACAAAGAGAGATTGCAAGACTTGCATCCTGAGGCCTGCAATACCAAACCTACAGCCTGAGCCAAGTCTTTACTCTTCAGGCTTGCAATTCAAGATCTGGAATTCTTTTTAAAAAGATTGTTTACAAAATGTCAGTGGTAGGCTCAGGTGATGGGTGCTGAGCATGCCTGTCCTTGTGGACAGCAGTAGTGAGGCCATTCTAGTGCTCCTTATCCTCTGGTATGTAGCAGACCTCTCTGTTTATTAACTGTCAGCACAACTTCTTTTGCAACACACTCCTACCTGGGTATGGAGAAGCTGCACACGTTCAGTGGCATCCAGAAGCTCCTGCTCAGCCACTTTCCTCGACCGCTCCGTCTGCTCCAGGGCTGCCCGTAGCTCCTCAATTTCAGCCTGCAACAGGTTTGCTCTGCGCTCCACCATGGCCACCTGCTCCTTCAGGTCCTCCTGTGTCCTGAGAGCATCGTCCAAGTGTATCTGGGTATCCTGTAAAAGAGGCAAGAGAATTTGCAAGGTGGCAGCGTGTGCTTGGGTGCCAAAAATGTCAGCGAAGGCTCTTCTCTTTCTGTAGCTTTGCTGAACAGACCTTGAGCACTGCCTGTGTGTTTCTCAGGTTCTTTTGTGCCTCTGCAGCCACGCGGTTGGCATGGCTCAGCTGGATCTCCATTTCATTCAGGTCTCCCTCCATCTTCTTCTTCAGACGCAGGGCTTCATTCCTGCTCCTGATCTCAGCATCCAGGCTGCTCTGTAAGGACTCTACGATTCTGAGGTGGTTTCTCTTCATCTGGTCGATCTCCTCATCTTTCTCTGCTATCTTCCTGTCAATCTCAGACTTCACCTGGTTGAGCTCAAGCTGGAGGCGCAGGATCTTCCCCTCTTCATGTTCTAGGGAGGCCTGGACAAGTAGACACAAGCATTTGTAATGTCGATAAAACTACTGCTTGCTTTCTAGGTAATTACAGAATATTTCAAGAATCTCAGCTGCCTGCACTCCCCAGCCAGAACAGAGCAGGACCAAGCAGTTTTTAGTCATATTTCCCCATTGCTCCTATTTTTAGTGCAAATACCAGTGATTATGGGCATGTACCTCAGCTTCCTCCAAGGCAGCCTGGATTTCAGATTTCTCCTGCTCAATCTGCTTCTTGACTTTCTCCAGCTCATGAATCGCCTTTCCTCCCTCGGCAATCTGCTCCGTGAGGTCAGCAATCTCCTCTGTGGGAGCAAAGACCAACAGCATGGTCAGGCACAGAGCAGAATGCAAAGGGCCCTGCCACACCAAGGTGACAGGCAGCTTTGCCAGCCTGCAGGCACAGACCCATACGGAAAGGTGGTAGTGCTGGATAGTGAGAAAGCCCAGCCAGGAGCAGAGGGCCAGGGACTTACGCTGCAAGTTCTTGTTCTCACGCTTCAGCGTTTCCAGGTGGTCCAAGGACTCCTCATAGGCATTCTTCATCTTAAACAGCTCTGTGCTGAGAGACCGAGACTCCTTCTGGGAGGCTTCCAGCTCAGCCTGCGTTTCCTCGTACTTCTGCTTCCATTCTGCCAGGATCTGAAGAGAAACAGGACCTCAGTGTGGATGTGGCAATCAGGAGGGGATGCTCTGCCCAGGAACCCCAGGCCTGGAGCCCAAAAGACCTTGTCAAAGTTCTTCTGCTTCTTATCCAGAGCTGCGCAGGCAGCATTCGCTCGCTCCACATCAATCATTAGGTCCTCCACTTCATTCTGCAGCCTCTGCTTTGTCTTTTCCAGGGAGGCACATTTGGCATTTACAGCTTCGACATGTTCCTCTGCATCCTGCAGGCGTTGTGCCAGCTTCTTTCTGGGAGGTGATAAGCACAGCTCTTAATTGGGGCCTAAAATGGATATTGTTTTTTATTTCCACCACAGTGCTGAGGCAGTTTTTGCAGTATTTGGTCTCCATGCACACGGTGTAGAGCCTATCCCAGCCAGTCATTTATCTTCCTATTTTCTTTCCCCATGGTCTGGCTATCTCCTCTGCGCACACTATACATTGTCTTTCTCCTGCATTCTTTGTCATGTAGTCTATTTCCCTTGTGTTTTTCAAAACCACACCCTTTAAAGTACATATTTCTGTTTCATATAACTCCTCCTCGACCTACTACAAGGCTTTTGCCTTTCAGTATCTCAGTGGTCTCTTCAAAATTTCATCATTGGTTTCTGCCAGCCTTCCCCACATTCCCCACATACTTGGCCTCCTCCAGCTCCTCCGTGCGCTGAATAGCGTCTGTCTCATATTTGGTTCTCCACTGGGCCACTTCAGTGTTGGCCTTGGACAGGGCACGCTGCAGCTCCCCCTTGGCTTCCTGCTCCTCCTCATATTGTTCCCGGAGCAAGTCACAGTCATGGCGAGCGGACTGCAAGGCGTGGGCCAGAGCGCTCTTGGCCTGGGCAGACGAGCAGATTGGGACAATGAAATGCTTGTGACACAATGTTAACTTAGGGATAGTTGTTGAAAATTCTTTGAATTTGGCATTTAAAGTCAGCCCAAGGGAAAAGGTATATTGATTCCATGTTCTGAGAAGCTTCTTATCGCTTCATTCATCAGAATCTAGAATGTTACCTCAGGAGAGATGATGGGTAAATTCTAAATGACAACTATAAAACTGGGAATTCTTGAATTGTTTTAAATATGTTCTAAAGTTTCAGCTTCCATTATGGAAAAGTGGAATAAGAAACAAGCTATATCTCAACTTTTTTTTATAAGCCATTATTAATCCAAATAAAGACCAGTAGTTGTCTTTCCCTGTCTCAGTATCCAGATTGGAGACGATGCCCTCCTCATATTTTCTTCCCACACTAGAGAGGGAGGTGGCAAAACTGTCCATGTAGTTTGAGAGCTTCCAAATTAAAGTGACATGGCTAACATTCTGATTTTATGTGAGATTAGGAAATATCCTGAAAGAAAATGGAATCTGAATCCAAAGTCAAACCCCTTACAAGGAAGAACCTTTACCTTTATTTCTTCCTCTAAATGTCTCTTCAGTTCCTCGATCTGTTGAGTAAATGCCTGTTTGCCTCTGGATAGCTGAGATATCAAAGCATCTTTTTCTTCCACCTGGCGTGAATATTCACCTGAGAAATTTTACTAGACTGTAATTTAAATGTAAATACACTGTAATTTAAAAAGCAATACTAAACCAAGTGTCTTTAAAACACTGTATACCAGCTTACAGAGTATGGACCAATTTGAGTAAAACATCACACTTTTTCTTGTCCTTGTCAGTTAAAGGTTCTCCCATTTCAGAGGAGTATGGGGGTGCGTTACCTGCTTCTGTCTGCAGACGAGCTCTTTGAGTATTGAGGTCATTGATCATGCGCTGATGTTCCTCTTCTTTTGTCTTAATCTCACTTAACTGGTCTTCCAGAGTACGACACATCTTCTCCAAGTTTGCCTATATGTCAAATACATGTAAGGCAAGAGGACTATCACTAAAGTCTATCTAGTTTTTCATGATGAAAAACAACTCAACTGTGTGTGATGGCAAAATGTAATCAAAAAGTTCAAAATCATGTGGCAGGTCATGTATCATAGCGCAGTAACCTGACAGAAACTCTGTACCTTGGCTTTGGAGACAGATTCCATGTTACTGGCCAAGTCATCAATCTCCATCTTCAGCTCACTCTTCTCCTTCTCCAGCTTCTGCTTCACTCGCTGCAGGTTGTCGATCTGCTCCCCAAGCTCAGCTGTGCTGTCCGCGTGCTTCTTCCGCAGGGCGGCAGCTGTGGCTTCGTGCTGCAGCGTGGCCTCTTCGAGGTCACGGCGCATCTTCTGAAATTCTGCCTCACGCTTCTTGTTCATCTCAATCTGAGCTGCGGTAGCCCCTCCTGCTTCTTCCAGGCGCTCGCTGATCTCCTCTAGCTCCCTCGAGAGGTCAGCCCGATGCTTCTCTGCTTTTGCCCGAGAGGTTCGCTCTGCCTCAATTTCCTCCTCCAGTTCCTCAATACGAGCCTGGGGAACATTAGGGGACCCTTCACACCCATGCCCTCTTCCTACCTGACCTGAGACTGGGTGAGAGAGGGGAAGGAACAAAGACTTGCCTGCAGCTCCTTGATCTTCTTCTGTAATTGCATGCCCAGAAGTTGCTCATCCTCAATTTTGCTCTGGATCTGGCTGATTTCAAAGTCTTTCCTTTGGGCAAAGCAAACCATGTCAGAGCTCAAAGCAAAAAGACAGGTGCACCAGCCCAGCACTCAGGTGCCCCACGGCCCCACCTACTTCTTCAGCTTCTCATCCAGCTGCTGCTTATCATTTTCCAAATCCATTATGCTGTCATGGGCCAGCTTCAGGTCTCCTTCGAGTTTCCTCTTAGCTCTCTCAAGGTCCATGCGCAGTTTCTTCTCTTGCTCCAGGGACCCTTCCAGCTAAAACAAACAAGACCATCAGCGCTCCGTCAGCCAGGTTTAACTCCATACCTGTCCTGTTCTTGAGGTACGCCTGTGTGCTTACATCATCCACTTGCTGCTCCAGCTTGGTCTTAGCTTTGGTCAGCGTATTGACTTTGTCCTCTTCTGCCTGCAGGTCATCCAGTGTCTGCTGATGGGCCTCTTGGAGGGCTTTCTTCTCTTTTGTTAGCTTGGCAATGGTCTCATCCAGGGCTGCCATCTCCTCTGTGAGGTTTTTCACCTTTGAAAAGAAGGGAACACATGCAGATAAAAAATGATGTTTAAAACTTTATACTGTATAACAAAACAGAGGTCTTTTCTGTGAGAGTGACATCTTCTGCCTCATACTTTGTTTTCGGTGGCATGTTTTTCCTTCTCAACCTTGGCCAGTGTTAACTCAAGATCGTCAATATCTTTCTTCAGCTCTGAACATTCATCCTCCAATTTCCTCTTCTTGGCTGTCAGCTCAGCATTAATTTCTTCCTCATCCTCAGCCCTTTCAGTCACCTCTTTAACTTTGGCTTCCAGCTGGATTTTGGTTTTGATGAGCTGGTCACATCTTTCCTCAGCATCGGCCAAGCTATCTGCTTCCTGGTGAAAGACACAGATTTTCTTTGTTGTTTTCTGAACTTTTCTATGTAAGCATGTGTTAAAATGTGGCCTGAAGTTGACCTCTCCTCAAGCAACTTTAATCTGGCTTTATTTTTTTTTTCCTCTGGGATGCATTATACAGCTTCTCGGTTGGAAACGATATTGATTCCTCAACTTTTTTCTCTCTCTTAAATATTTCTCACTGATATGGTAGGTGTGTGAATTTCTCATTTACCTAGAGGAGAAAGGGCTTGGAGACATTTCTGTTCACAAACACTGTATTCACTATCTTTCCTTTTGTAACTGAATCCTTCTGAACCCATTATTATGTTCAAGTAAAGGCTCTCATAGTCTCAAGAGTAATTTAATAGAAAAAGACATTACTTTCTCTCTGAATGTATTAAGACTGCTGCTTGTGCAAGTGGGGGTCTTACCCTTGTAAATGAGCTACCTGTGTGTTATCCTTCCATACTGTGTCTGGAATGGCATGTGCTGGTTTCAGTTGATCACAACATCATCGTACTCTTTGGTAGGCTTTTGGTATACTGAATCTGCTTTGTTTCAAATGTATTTGAAAGGCACATATCTGAGAAGAAATTCCATTGGGTTATTTTTTTTTCTCCGTGTATTAGGTAAAACAGGTAACACAGGGTTCCCATTTTCTAAGGGAATGTTCAAATAACTAGGTAGTTAAGTACAGTGTTCCATTTTTAGTTGGTAATTTAAGTAATTTAATGAGTAGATTAAAATGACTTTGTAAGGTGGCATTTGAATATCAAATACTTTTGTATATATTTTTAAGCAATATTTTCTTTTGCGAGTGCTGTGTGTCTACAAGATTCATAGGATTGTGGTGGTAAAATTATTAATATTTAAGATTGAGAGGTCTGGTTATGAAGTTATCTTTACTAAAAGAATATTCCTTTCAACTAAAAGCTAACAGTCCATGATTGTTTCCAACTCCCCACTCCTGAGCTAAGATAATACCAGGTGTGTCACTCCTATAAACACCAAGAGCCGGTCTCTCCATATTGTCATGTTATTTATTGTTTGATTCCTTAGAACTGTTGCAGTTAACAAGCTACTTAAGTAGAACATCCCTCCCAAGGATGGATACCTGGCTTTGTTAACATTGAAATGATTGGTTTTCCTCACCACTTCCTTTTTTTTTGATACAGTATATAGGCTTCTGTCTGACCTGTTCTAAATTGTGCACCCAGACTGAGGATCCCAACACAAGTACGTTATGGAAAGATGGCTTATAGTGGGAAGTAATGTTGTTTTAATAAAGATAACTTCTTATCCAGATCTCTCAATCTCAAATATTAATAATTTTACCACCATAGCATGTTGTTTAAAGTGGAACTACCATAGAAAATCCAGATTAGAGATGCAAAAAACTAAAATGTTCAGAAAAAACAAAAACTTCTGCTTCGTTATAGATTTCATTTATGACCTTGATTCATACCAGTTAAGTCTAAAGCATACAGAGCTCTTTTGTGTAAATAACAAATGAGGGAGGAAAAACCCCCCCCCCCCCCCGGATGGTGTTACTTATTTTCAGAAACAGGAGCTCTGTGTCTGTATATCCTTAGAGTAAGGAGAAATTTGAAGATGTATTTCCCAATTACTGAGTAAATGATTAACCTCTACTTACTAAGCAAAGGGTGGATAGCTATTCCTGCACCTCAATTCACAAGTACCACTTTCAACTCTGGCTTGCATTTACGCTCCAAAATTAATTCATTATTCTACATCCTGGTAAGATGGAGATACCCCCTGCAGGACTCACCTGCTCAGAGGTAGTTGGGGGTTCAGGCAAAACTCTGCTCTGAGTATTTCATGTTGGCTAGCTATATCTGCCTCCTTCCTCTAAAGGCAAAGCACTGACTCCCACTTGGAGCTCCCTGCTTCTTTGCACTGGCTGTCAGAGGGCTCACTATGCTACTACCAGACACTTGTTTCCTCAATTTCACATACATATGATGGATAATTCACCAAATATCTGACTTTTGGTCTTCTATAGTCTGACCTTCTGCTTCATAAAGAACAGTCTGAATGTATAGACTCCTTTTCTGAGTGATAAAATAATGGTGATAAACTCACTGCTTGGACTTGGAGCTGCAGGTCATTTTTCTCCTGCACCAGTTTCACCATTTTCTCCTCCAGCTCCTTCCTCTTTGCCTCAGACTTTGCAAGCTCTTCCTTGGTTTTCTCAAACTCTTCCTTCATGTTGGCCATCTCCTTCTCCGATTCTGCACTCTTCAGCAAGGGCTTGATCTTGAAGAACAGCTTCATCCAGGGCCAATGCTTGACGTTCATGAATGCACGAATATTGTACTGGATGCAAAAGATGGACTCCCTGAAGCATAATTACAATGTACATTGAATATTTTCAGTATGACAAGTGCCAACACTTTCCCCCAAGTACAGTGACTTTGACTGAGGATGAGGAATGTCTACCTCCTCTCCACCATTCTCCGGTACTCCACTCTCATCAGGAAGCCCCTGCACATGGCTTGTGTGCGGGTGATGAGCTGTGCCAGCTTCTCATCCCTCATCTCCTCCAGGAGTCCCAGCAGCCCAGCTTTGAAGAACACCTTGCGAAAGGGAATGTTGCAGCACATCACTGTCACGTAGAGCAAAGCACAGACATGCAGTGAGTGAGTCAAGGAGGGTTTGTACCTTGGTGTGGCCAAATTTGTACTGGGTGTGGTCCACATCGATTGACCCAAGAAGCTTCTCAGAAGCCTTCTTGCTATCAATGAACTGTCCCTCTGGGATAGCACTGGCATTAAGCACCTTGTATCTGTGAAAAAAGAGGAAGATAAGGTTATTTTTCCGCAAGCAACACACACAAGCTAATGAACCCCACCAGTTCATTTATAGCTGGTTTTGACAATGGACCGCAGCCTGAATGAACCTATATGAATGAACCCACATTGCTTTTAATGATGCTGAGAAGTGCAGTGCTTTTACCTCTGTTTAAAGTCAGCATAGAGGACTCTGCTGGGGAAACCTTTCCTGCAAATTCTGATGCCTTCCAGCACACCGTTACACCGCAGCTGGTGAAGTACCAGTTCATGCTCCATGGCACCTAGCAATTCAGAGCATAAATGAATACCACAGTCTCCAGTGCAGACGGGCATGGCTGTATCAGAGGAAGTTCTCTTTCTGCTTGAGCATCTTACCAGGTGTTTTTGTTTCATTTGGGATGATGCAACGGACAAAATGGGGGTGAGTGCTCCGTAGATTGGTCATCAGCTTGTTTAAGTTCTCCTAGAGGGACCAGTTAGTAAAGTGAGTTTCTCCTATGTCCAGTGTTGGATGCATCAAGCCCATGGTAATGACTTTACATCTCAAAATTAGCTGGGTTTCAGAACACTTTGGTAAACCCACGGAAACTATTTATAAGGAGACTCTCAATTCCCCAACATATCACCTCACAGAAATGCAGAAATGCTAAATTATAGTTCTAGTCTCACCCAAAGACATAAAAATATAAAACCTGAATAGATCCTCACCAAACAACAACAAAAAAAGAAATTAAAAACAGATTAGATTTTCATGATCTTTGAAGACAGAATGCTTATTTTTGAACACAACATATTAGCAATATTGAAATTGATCCTGGAAAACCTGATGTGGAATTTCCAAAGAATTTTACCACCATTACAGCAATGCAAAATAACCCTTTCAAATTTAATATTAGGAGGTCCCCTTTCTTCATATTACAAAGAGATAACAACTGCAGTACTTACCCGGAAAAGAGCTGACACAGTCTGGAAAGAAGAACCCTTCTTCTTCCCTCCTTTTTTGCCACCAGCCTCTGCAAATAGAAGAAAAGAAAAAAAAGTATTAAAATATGGATATTGCATATTGGAGACTACAGAACACAAATCAACTTTAAATGTTTAGTGTTTACTGCTTTAATTC